AAAAGGCAGCCACAGAGCAATAATAATAATAATAAATTATATAGTAAAAATCTAGAAGACTTTAATAAAAGTGTAAAAAGCAAATAATAACCAAGAGTTTAATTAAATTTTCATCTTTTTAATTCAATCAACTGAGCTTAGCAAAAAAAAACATTCAAAGTTGACGAGATTAAGCGTGATATCTCAGTAATCGACTCGCATATTTCAACGGGGAGGTAGGAAAAAAGTCTAATTGGATACCGAGACGAATTGTGGGAGCACATTCCATAGCCTGCATGCAGGCATGCATGCCAGCTAGCATGTGCAGTAGCATGCCTGGCTGGAGTCACAGAAATACAATCACAACCATAACCATTGCCATTACACATTGTAGCAAAATTCTAGCGACAACTACAACGAGTCCTTTTTGGTCCTGCTGCATGCTGCATGCTGCATGCCGTGTGCTGTGTGCTATATGCTATATGCTGTGTGCCTGTTGGTTCTGCCTTGCTTGGGGCGTTGCTTTTGATACTCACCTAATGGTATTTTCTCGGTTAACGATGCAGATTGTTGTTGCAATTGTTGTTGTTGCTGCTGCTGTAGCTGAGCTGCGCTAAATTCCAGCCAACAAATGCTGCCAGCGCACATTAAATGTAAATATGCCAAGAATTTTAGCCTCGAATGCATTTTGTATTGCTATTTGCTTTCGCAACAAATTCGGTGAGAATTTTCCACTTGTAAGTTTTTCGAGTTGTTTTCCTTCTCTTCTCCACTTTTCTCTTTTTTATCGAATGCGCGTTTCTTTTATTTTTCTTTTTTTTTTGTGACTTTCGGGTATGTTGTTACCTTAATTTGTTGCAACAACCGGAGGCAGCTGTTGGCCCCTATTGAGCGCGCGTGGCAGCTTCCAAAGACGTTTCGTTGCCTGCTCAACTGTGCATTTGGTGTTCTGCCAAGAGTTTGTTTGTTTTTTTTTTTTTTTTTTTTCGGTTTTTCGTTCGTATTAGGTTAATTAACTCGGTTTATAATACTGATTAGCTAATATTTATATGTATACTTTTTATATGTGTATTTTTTTAATGATGTGTAATTTATGTATTGATTAACTTTTTAACTAACTGCTTAGCTTAATAAGGTTGAGTTAATTTGAATTGAATTGAATTAAGTCTAGCTACAGGAGCTACGAGGAGTCCTTTGAGCCAGTTGCTGCTGGCGCACTTTAAAAGTTGAGCACGCTTGACTTTAACTGAAAGCACGCGCTGCCCTCAACCCTCGAGCGAGTCATTCGTTGCCCTCACGCACGCTGACACACACACACACACACACACGGGACACGCGCGCACACACACACACCCTCACAGGGAACTCACAGAAGCTGCTTCGGCCGAAGTCTGCTCTGCAGTCAGAGTTCTTTTATCCGCGCACATGAACCAATCGTTGACGCGTTGTAATCAGCACTAAAAACGCCTAAGCTGCCCAGTAAGACGAGACCCAGCATCAGTCGAGGACCACAAAGCAACAAAGTTGCTTTGTCGCCCTTTTACAACGCGAGAGCTCTCGCTGAGCCGCTCGTGCGCCCGAATGCTGGATGCTGGCTGCAGTTGCTCTCTTTGTACTAAAAGTGAAGTCACGCACTCGAGTGACTCTCTCTCTCTCTCTCTTTGTAACTGTCTCACTTATGCTCGCTCTCTCGTCTGCAAAGTGCTTCGGCATCTCCAATTACTGACCTACTACGCTTAGGACTCTGCACAAGTGACGAATTGTTGCTGTTGCTGTTGTTGTTGTTGTTGCTGCTGCTGTTGCTGCCGTTGCCGCTGATGATGTTGTTGGTAGAATGTTTGTTTACGTTGTGCCTTGCATTTTTGGCTGCATAATTGATAGGGACAACAGCCAGAAGAAAAGGCAACAACTGCAGGCGGCTCTGCTGCTCGATGGCGCTCAAATCGTTTTTATCCAAAAGCCCAGCCTAACGGGCACGGCTTTGACAGCAAATGTTTTTGCCTTTTCCCTTTTCGATTTCGTTCCAATTTTCAGATTTCAGAGTAGAGTTTTCCGTTTTCAGTTTTTATTCGCTGTTTTGGCAATTACTGACGCTGCCGTGACAATCCCTTTAACAAATCTCATTAGGCTGTCAATTACGTGCGATTGCCGTTAGTTTGCAGTGTAATGAAATCTCATTAATCGACTTTAATATCGCAGGCAAAAGTGAAGTGCGAACGTGGCGCCACGCCATGCCACGCTATGGCATGCCATGCCATGCCCATTGGCGCCTCTGCATATTGACGGGAACGCGGCGCGTACGATTTCATCATAATCTGTAATTAGTTTATAATGCGCACAGGAAGCGCTCGCAAAAAGCAGGAAGAGAGCAAAGTGCCGGCCAGCGAGGACAATGCAATGCTTAACCTACAGCAAACGGCGCTTAAGAGCGGCAGAGAAAAACAATGAGAAATGTAATGGGCAGACGAGAGTGTGGGCGTGCCATCTTGGCAACAACAAATGGCCAAAGTCAAGCCAATAAACATAAAAGTTGATGGCAAAATTTTTTAATTAAGAAAATCAATGAATATTTTTCCATGATTTCATTTCAACACGATGATGGCCATTGGCTTGCCTTTGCCCCAATGCCTTCAGCTGCTTCCTGCTCTGCCCATCTTTATGGTCAGCTCTGGTCAGCTTTATTTTAACGCTCGTTAATAGGTTTTAACAACTTTCATATGCAGTTTGTAGTGCATAGAGAGATGGATGGAGTGAGGGAGTGAGAGGGAGAGGGGAGGTAGTAGCTCTTGGTTACTATGATGATATTGTCTTTTATACTCCGCACTCTTTAGCAAAGTATTATGCTTTTTAGTGTGAGCTCAAGTCGAGCTGATTGGAAAGTAACTTTTAGCTTTTATATTCAGTGTTAATGCTTTGCTAATACGGCGATAAAGTTATTCGAATATCTATGCAGAAAATCCGAGCTGCTCTTTAACTTGCTGGCGTTAACAAAGAGCAAATAAACAAGCAAACTAACTATCAACAACAAGGCAAACAAGTAAATAAATAAATGAGCAAACAAACACAATTTCATATCATAATTAAATTTGTCTACCCAATTCATTGTTGTCCAACCAGCTGGGACTATGCGCGTTACAACAATAAGGAATACAAAAATCAAAAGTTGTTTTTTTTTTTCTTTCTGTTTTTTGTGTTATTATTTAATGCAAACTCCAATGAAATTTTAATTGCTCTTTTTCATAAATATGTAAATTGAAATGTGGGTTTTTTTGGCATGCTCGCTAGTGGAGTGGGCGTTATTTTTGGGGGAGGGGCGTTTGCTAATTATTTACAATTAAAATTTATGCGGCTGCCTAAATCAACAAACTAAATCGTTTAATTAAAAAGCCGAGCGCATACAGATGAAACAAAAAACACAATAGTAACAGCAGCAGCAACAACAACAACAACAACAACACTAACAACAGCTGACAGGAACAACAACCTGATATGGCTTGAAGCCGCAACAAAATCAGAGCCGCAAGTACAAAGATAAATAAGTGGCATTGTCGGTTTCATTTCCGGTTGTTGCATTTGCATTCAAATAGCTGTGTGTTTGTCTCTCCCTCTCTCGCTCTCGCTCTCACTCTCACTCTCTCCCTGTGCTTGTAAGCGGTATATAAGCACATTTCCAACTGCTTTTTAGATTTAAGCGGCGCGCAGCTAAAAGCACAAAAATAAAGCAATAAAAAGCAGCACGCCACAAGAAATGTGAAAGCAGATGAAGCTGCCACAACGACGGGTCGCCTCCTGTTACGGGGGAGGGGGACGGTACTTCGCACAGTTACTAGCAGCTGTCGTTTCCGTCCAACTCTGAGCGGAGCAGAGCGGCCCTGGCCCTTGGCCCCTAGCCCTGGCTCTCTCTCCTCCTCTCCATCCCTTGCTGCGGCACAGCGAGCGTACATTTTGTATTGCCTGTGACTTAGACTTAGCCTCGACTGTCTTTCAGTTTCTCACTTCATCAGTTACGCCAAAAAGGAGACTCTGCAATAAATTTCGCTGATTGCTTCCGCCCTCGACTAGGAGCCTAACCTCGACTCCGATTCGGCCGACTGCCTCATTTTTTATGCCGCTTGATAAAGTAATATCCGTTTTACGTATACTTTGTTTTTTTCTTTTCTTCGCGGGAGTCTCTCTCTCTCTCTCTCTCCTTTTCTTTGCGGCCCGCGGCCCAAGCCTCTGCCTTTTTGATACCCTGTAGTGCGTGCGTTTATTAACAAATGCAGCGAGCGCTTGCTTCGTATTAAGTTTCAGCTTCTTTTTTTTCTTTGTGTCGCTTTTAATGCGGTTCGTGTGGCCCATGAATGCAAAGTGAGCGCTTAAATTATAGGGTATTAAATTCATGTGGGGTGCTGCAAGTAATGTGCCAAACTTTATGCTATAATTTGGTCACAACGAGCGCCGGTCGCTTTTTGTTGTTGGTCTAACACAGATTTGTGGCCTTGCGACAGGAGCAGGCGGCGCATGGGGCGTATGCGTCATATCAGAGCACGCATACGCAGTGTAGGTCAATGCTGATGGGCAGCGCCCCACGTCCCCACAGCCCCCCTCACACACACAGTACAAAAAAACTGCAGTTTCTCCCCTTTGCATGACCCTAACACAGACTAGAACCGAGTGCGTGTATGTGTGACTGTGTATGTATGTGTGTGTAATTGAAACTTCCGCTTTGGTCAGTTAGCGCAATTTAGCAAGCTGCAAAAAAGTTAGACACGGCTGAAGTAACAGGCAAAGTGCAAAGTCCATTGCAGCTACTTGGCTTTCATTTCAATTTAAACTTTAAAAAGCCAACACACACAAACACACACACATACACACGGCCACACACGCGTGTGTGAGTTTGCGTATGTGTGAAGCCACATGTAGAAATGAAAATTATTTAAAATGATTTATTTCACAACAATTTTCATTAGGCGACCGACCAACTGCATTGCAGGTTCATCCTCTCCTCTGCTCCCCTCTCCACTCCTCTGCTCCCCTCCCTCCTCGCATGCTCCGCACTAATTCACTTTTGCTGATTTTTGTACAAAATATGCGAATGCTGCCTTGAGTTGAGTTGCCTTGGTCAACGAGCCGCAGCAGAACGAAGGGGCGTGGCGTGGCGTCTCTGTCTGCGTGTGTGTGTGTATGTGTGTCTGTGTGCTTTCATACATGTTTCATATGAAATAATTATATATGCGGTCAGCTAGCCGCTTGCCTGCAGGCGGTGCACCATCAACCTGACCTGCCAGCTCCTACTCAGCTCTGCGGCCCCTCCCCCTCCACATCGCTGTTGACCCCCTTACCCTGCTCAATTTGCTTTTCGCTTAGCCAATGGCACACACACAAAAGTAAAAAATAAAAATTAAATAAAAATGTTGCAACAGAAAAAAAGAAAAAAAAACATGAAATGGCTACAAAATGTGCTGTTGCTACATGTTCCCTGTTCCGTGGCGACTGCTGCATAACTTTTGCGGAAATTTGACTCTAGGGCGCTGCGGACACGCCTTCATAGCCCAGTCCGCTGCCAGTGCCTGTGCGCCAAAAATTAGTAGAAAAGAAGCAGGAGAAGAAGAGAAAGGGGAAGAGGCGTGGGGAGAGAGCGAGAGAGAGAAAAAAATGTATTCGCAAAAGCAACTAGAAAAAGGTTAACAAGCGTCAGTAGAGTAGCGCAGCTCAGGGAAAAGCACAACAACAAAAAGAAGTTATAATTTTTGGCAGGCAACTACAATAACAGCAACAACAGCAGCAACAACAACAAAAGGCAACGTTAATGAAAAGCAAGCGTGAAATAAAATCATAAATTTTGCAGCGCTTGCACGACAACCAGTGGAAAATAGCAGTTCGCAACTGTGTGTGTCAGTGTGTGTGTGTGTCTGTGTGGGTGGGTGTGCGTATATGTGGCTCTTATTTTTGTTTTTCATTTGTATGCGTGTGAGTTAAAAAGCTTGGACAGACTTGTGCCTGGACAAGTGCATTTGCGGTGTGCCCCCAAATGTATGCCACATTAATGCCGAGAGTGGAAAGATCTTTCTATGAGTGCGAGTGTGTGTGTGTGCGTGTGAGAATGTGTTTGTGTATCACTGTCTGTGTGTAGCTCGACATTAACTGGCAACAGAGTCCAACATCTGGACTATGCTTGGCCAGCAGCGGTCAGCTTAGTGTATAACTAAGTGTGCCTCTGTGTTTGTGTGCACATATCTGCGTGTGTATATGTATGTGTGTAGGTGTTGGATTTTTAGCAACTAAGGAGGTGCAGAGGAAATAAAAGCGCTCCCAAACATCTGCTCTGCGCAATGGACAGAGCAAGTGAGCTGCTGCTTAGCTTGTTCGGCATTAAGAGCATGAAAATTGGCCAAGCTTCTTTGTATTACGGCCAGACTAGACCAGCCTAAGCCAGGGCCAGGGCGACAGGCCAAGCAAGGCTCGCAAAGTATAAATAACGAAATATATCCTCAAACATTTACGGATTTTAAACTTAAACTAGATTACTATTTTATTCATAAAGTTAATAAAAATGTAGTAAAATTCATAAAAAAAATTCAGATGTAACCAACGCTTAACAAATATCTAAAAATTCTTCTCTGTTAATATATTCTTCAGTAAAATAAACTTTCAACAATATATATTAAAAAATAAAAAATATGAATATGTAATTGAGGTTTGAAAGCTATTATCTATTTTATGTTAAAATGTTTATTATTTTAAAACAATTAGTTTTATTAAACAGAAATAAAAAAAAAAAAAAAAAAAAAAAAGAGATCCTTCATAAACATAAAGTTATAAATAATTCACAGCAAAGCAATTTATCATTGAAATAAATCGGAGGCATTATAACCCGCCGATAAAAGCTTTTTCGAAAGCTGTTTCACCCAGTCAAGTAAATGGTTCGGAACTTGACTAACATTAACATTTACGAAAACTGTAAAATTTAGCTTTTCGAAACACCGACTGTTAAGTATAACAGCGAAGGGAATGAAACATTTGTAAAATATATTTTTGTAAAAAACGGTGTACATACTTTATTGAACTACATTTGTAGTATGTCGGGGCGCTAAAATATGTCAAAGGTAAATAATTTATTGCAATTAACAGATCTTAAGATAAAGCGCGTTTTTGTATGCAGGGCTGCCAAGCGGCATAAAACCAGATCAGTTCGCCTGCCTGAAATCCCCGTTAACATTAACTAAATTTGATTACCTTGCAAGGGATAAACCAGGTAGTCGATTCTTTGCTTTGCAGCCCTTTTGTCGAGTGCAATTTACATATTTAACTAATAAAATGCATAATTCTGTTAACAATTTGCGTGGCTGTGTGTATATGTGTGTGTGTGTGTGTATGAGTGTGTTAATATTAACACAAGTATTCGACTATGATTAATGCTAATCTGATTGTTATTGTTATCTATGCAATTCGTAACAGGACTTAAAGCAACAGCAACAAAGTTCGTAATTTCATTTATACAAATGTGCACAACATTTTAAATAACATTCACACGCACACACATGCACACATATACAATCTCTCACACACACATGCATAATAAACAATTTTAGCTATGGCCGGGCCCCAATGAACGGCTCAGAAACTTGAAATTTGCACTATTTTTGCGATTTATCAACTGTTGATTGATTAATTTTATAAATATACATATATATAAGTATATAATTTGTGTGGTTTCTTTATGTTTATAGATCAGTGATAAATGCTTATCAGTAGCTGTATTTTTCTTTTATACCTACAGTTAAGTATATTTTGTTGTTTTTTGTTTTTCTTACTTTCTTTTTTCTTTTTTTTTTTTTTTTTGAGTCCAGCTACAAAACGTTGCATAAAGTTTGTATAAAAGTTGTTTTTGTTTTCCTGTTTAGTTAGTTTTTTGTTTTTGTGTGTTTTCTTGACTAGTAAATACATTATATATACATATATAT